CTGAGGGCTCTCAGATTTCAGTTTCACTAGGGCACTAAAGCACTGTCAGGAAACCTAGTCTGAAGCCCAAAAGACTGGGAAGAAGTGTAGCTGGGTGCCCCAGGGATCACCAGGGACACAACCCCTAGAAGCAGACTAATTCCGGACTGCACCTGCCAGGGCACTTTCTCTGCCTCCCGTAGGGCCTTCCTGAGCTCAGAAACTGGGGGGGACAGGATCCACAGGGAAGAGGCCTCAGCACTTGCAGCTGACAAGGACCGGGGAAGTCCAGGGATGACAGAGAGGGCTGGCCAAGTCAGGAGAAAATCCACATTGTGGGATCCCAGAGCAAGAGACTGTCTTACCCCGTCAAGAGGGCTTCCACCATGATAAGTCATTTTTTGGCAGAAAACTAACAGCTGGCGAGAGAGTGGGGAGGGTGAGGTAAACCATCTGGCTTCATGAAGCCAGAGCAGCTGGGCTGAAGAAACCAAGACAGACAGAGGACAGCAGAAGCTGGGAATATTATGGGAAAGAAGCAGTGTCCAGAGCTGTGCTGCCCAACATAGCAGCAGCCGGCCACATTTGGCTATATAATTTTAAATTAATTAAATATATTTGAAAAAACCAACCCTTCGCTCTACTAACCACATTTCAAGTGCTCAACAGCCACAGAAGGCTAGTGGTTATATTGCAGACAGTGCATATGGAACATCGCAGGAAGTTCTATTAGACAGAGCTGGTCCAGAGGCCTCACTTCATCCCCTAGGTTTGAAATGCCTTGGGGCCCTAATTTGTCCTGCAACATGAGAGCAAGTCTCAAGGCTTTGGCTGCTCTTATTCAAGAAGGCTGAGGTGCCAGGAAGGTCAATGAGTGATTTCATTTTGGTTCTGTTCGCCTCTCAGTCTGGGAGAAAGCTGAAAGGGAAGACCAAGGTTTTGATCACAGGGAGCTGCCAGGGTCAAATCCCCTCCAGCATCCTCCCCTGGGGGGAGATACGGAGTGGGCAGCAGCCAAGGGGCACGAGATACCTCTCAGTAATAGCAGACCTGCTTCTTCATCCCTCCATGACCCATGTGAAAGTTTATAGGGAGCAGAGCAGTCAGGAGCCTTTCACTGGTGGAACCCCTGCCTTCCTGGGGCAAACCAACTTCTGCTGAGGAGGGCAAGCCTGGAACCCCTCCGCTCCCTCCTCCCCTCTTCATTGTGCTTGCTGAGTCATTGTCAACAGCAAATCCCAGCCAACCAAGTGACATCATCAGCCCTTCTGGTACTAAAACCTGTAGTTAACAGTGGAGTATCTGTGCCTGGCACTGCTTCCCGAACCAGGTTCTTGCCTCTCTCTCTCCATGGTGATGTCAGAGCTGCCCAAGTGGGCTGAAGCCTTGGGACCACCCAGGGTCATCCTGTCAGCCAGAAAGGGTTTGCTGGTGGCTTCCCTTTCTCTTGCCATTCTCACCTTGGGTAAAGTCCAATCTGGAGTTTACACTGGGATTGTACAGAATCTATGGATCAGTTTGAAGAGAACTTACATGTTTATAATATTGAGTTTTCCAACTCATGAACACAATATATTTCTCAACTTACTTAGTTTTCTTTAGTTCCTTTCTATGAAATTTTATAGTTTTCTCTGTAGAGATTTTTGACATTTTTTATTAGATTTATTCCTAGGCATTAGATATTTTTTCAGTGCTTATCATAAAGTATATCTTAATTTTTTTTCTGTCTTTGCTGATGCTTTCCAATTCCCTATAGGAGAACAACGCAGTTATCTAGTTACCTTCAGACAATTCTAGCCAGGACTTTTCCATGCTGACCAAATTGGTCTTACACATGTAGGACTCAGGTACCATTCAGTGTCTCTTACTCTAGGGAAGGGATCTCCTCTGGTTTGCTATTAGGTGTTGAAATCAATACTACTATTACCTACTGCATTCTGTTCAGACATCCCCACAGATCCCTCACGTTTTGGTGGGGGACTGAATTGCTCTAAACTGGTTTATACTCACCCATAGTTTTTGGTGTGTTTGGAATAGAGTGTCAACTTAAGGAGTGGGACAGTTGGATTTAGGGCAGGGATTTACTTGAGTGAAGTCATTTTCCATGGTATGGTGAGGAGAACAGAAATGAAGAACTTGGCAACATCAATCACCACGAAGACAACAAAAGAATGAAACAAGGTACAAAGTGACCAGCCAACCAACTGACCAACCAACCAATCACAGAGACTGAAAGGATAGAGAAGAAAAGTCAAGCACTGAGAACTTCCGGTAACGTTTCCCTGGCTACGGTTAATGCGTCTTCTACATCCTTGCTGCCTAACTGTCCTTTTATACATAATGCTTACAAGTGCAGACTCGTTCATATCATATATAAAGAATCATGCCAGTGAAATAAAAGGTGCTGAAGAGAATCTCAGTTAACGGTGAGATATGAAAGCTGTTCTGTATTTCAGAAGCTGCTGGTGCTTGGGCCACACCCAGCCAGATATTTCTACCAGGTCTTCAAGTCATTTTTGGTTTGATTTGCTGCCTGAAATTTTGGAGGATGCTTTTCCTGGGGTCTATTCCCTAAATGAAGAACATAGCTTAATGAGAACCCAGGGCACCCTGCTCTCCTTAAGTCCCAACTGGTCAACCTTCTTTGGCCAGCCAGGTCCAGTGACCTTTACCCCTCTATTGCCAGAAGTCCCTTTAGAGATATTCACAGAAATTATCCATTTTACTTTCTCTTTACAGCACAGATTGACCCTGGCATATGTGAAATGCAAACGGTCCCAGGATGGCTCTCTTACTTCTTTGGGAAAAGTCTTTCTTATTTTACTCCATCTTATCACAGCAGGAAACTAGGGATTGAGGAAACTAGGAAACTCGCTTTATGGTTTAGACGACCACAGCTAGCTACTTCCGAGGAAATGGCTTATTCCTTGATCTGCAAACTTAGGTAAGGGGATCTTTCAGGCTGAGGCCCCTGCAGGGATCAATTTCATTTGCTTCGTAGGGCAGGCCTGCCCAATATATCTTCTGTGGTCATGAGGAATAACTCACAAAGTCCACTGCATGGCTCTGCAGACTGCATCAGACATCATCAGAGACACATCTGAGTCAACTGTGGAATGATTCAAGGCTTTGAAATATTTAAACCATATGTCTCGTGAAACTAGGTGAAAGTGATGCCAGTTTCCCTACGAGAGGCTGTCATCTGCGACTGAAGCTCAACTTGGCAATAATCCTGCATTCCCAGCCTCACCGGTCATGTTGCTATGGGCTATGAACCTGTTAGTACTGTGGGGCCACGTGGTTTGGAACAGGACCACAGGTAAGCAGAGGTCCCATGGGCCCTATGGAAGGTGACCAGGGAGATTCAGTGGTCTTCTTTAGGTCAGGACAAAATTTATGCCCCTGAAAGGGACTGGGCTTGGAAGGGAAAGTGAAAAGAGTATATTTAGTGCCCTGGAGGAGGTAGGAAATACCATTATTATCACCAAATGACATTTACTAGGAGTCTTATTCTCCGAAAATTAGCCAAGATCCCTAGGCATTCTTTGAGAGAAGGAACCAACATTGCAAGAATATGATCTGTTTTATCTTAAAGTCCCTCACAGGTTGTTTCCCTCTTTCTGAAAAGCACCGGCAGTACACTTGACATGGAAGATGCTTGCTAACAGCTTGGCATGGTGGAAATTACATCGACTATAAAGTCAGATTCTATTCCCAGTTCTGCCACTTCATAATGGTGTAATTAATATTACACTTAATTGTTCTGAGCTTCACTTCCCTCTTCTCTGAAATGAGGATGCTAATACCTGTGTTATGAGGGTGCTTTGAGGATTACGTGCAATGAGGTATGTGTAGCACATGGTAGGTTATTCAGAAATGTTAGTTGAATTTTAATTCAGAGAAGATGATAGACATCTTGTTAAGTGAATATGGATCCAACAGCCAAGGAGCACCCCCCTGTCCCATTTAACTCCAGGACAAGTAAAAACTTGAATAAAAATGGAACATATGGAAAGGACCCTTCCTTTTTGTCTCCTGTTGATCTGTGTTGAATCTGTAAAAACTAGTAAAGGAGGGGGAGAGAAGGCTCAAATAGCTAGAGAGTTTTCCTCAAGTCTGTAGCCATATAATTCTCTTAGAACCAACTCTTTCTTTCTCATCGCTCTCCAAAAGGAGTTGCAGCTATACCCTCTCTCAGGAGCAGCTGCCTGTGTTGTGAATCCCAGGCCAGTGGATGCCAATGATTCTGACCTGTCTTCAGGGGTGGAAGATGGCGGGTGATGCTCAAGTCAGTCTCCTCCTCCATTAGTCAGGAGAATGGGGGTGGGGCTGGTTAGGGAGGGCACAGAGAATCCAAAGTGACAGACAATCCAACCTTCCCTACCCTACCTCATTCAGCCAGTGGTTCTCATCTTTCTCTCAGCCTTTTTTCCTAGAAGTTGCTCGCAAGTAGCAAACCTCAGACATTTGCCTTTCTGGTACTAGAAAGCGCTAGGGAACAATGATGTAGCCTCTGAACGGGAGGACCCCATCAGCTGGGAAACTGAGCCTGAGCAAATGAAGCCCTGGCTGAGCTTTTTACAATGAGGGTGGTCTGTGGCTGATGAAGTGAGAGGGCAGTAGAACAGCAGCCCAAGTGAATCTGGGGGGCTGGTTGTGAAGAGGTTTGATTTGCCAGTCTGTGGGCACAGTTTCTTCTAGGTTATGTGCTGGGGGATGAGGGTGGAGACAGGGTGGGAAAGACAAGAAGAACCATCATCTGCCTCCTTGGAAGAAGAGGCTCAGCACAGGGAGGAATCTGTTTCCTGCATTTCCCAGCCACAGACTAGAGTGGAAACTATCTCAAGGGGTTGTTCTGGTACAACTCCTGGTAGGTTTAGGAGTTGTAACATTTATCTTCCAAGAAGATAGGGTCTTTCACTGATTATTTCTGCCCCTCACTCTCCTTCTTTCAGTACTGGCACTCCCCCTTGTCCATCCCTCCAGTGCCTGCAGACCAGACAACTTTCTCAGAGGCCTACCTTGGGTTTGAAGGCAATGAGCTTCAGAATCATCTCCACGGTGAAGAGGCCAGTGAAGAGCATGTTGAGGATGTTCATGGCAATTTTGAAGAGGCAGCTCTGGCCGTAGTGCTGAGGGGAGGGGAAGGACTGTCAAAACGAGGCAGGGGCATCCCTACTCCTTACCACCCTCCTCTCAACAGAGATCTTCCTTGAACCAAGCCCTGGAAGGCTATCCACATCTCTGTGGGCAGCCAGGTGGACTCAGGAAATCCTGCAAATTCTTCCCTTCTCTGCTAGCTCTGAAAACACAGGTTATGACACCTTTATGGAGACTTCTGGTTCTCAAGAGAGCTCAAGCACAAGTTGACCTCCCTGAAGAGAGGTGGATATAGAATCAACCTCTGTACCCATGCCTCACAGTAGCAAACTCTTCAGGCTCCCCCTCTGTTCTCCATTTCCTTCAGTCTAAGCGTTTTATTAACCCAGGCCTCTATGGATTGTCTTATAAGGTCCCAGAGAGGAGCTCATCCTTGAGAAGGGACACTTGTCCTTCTCCATCTTGGAAAAGAGGACAGTTCTTCTGCTCTTTCTGTCTCTCTTGGCCAACATGAAGGTGCCCCACTGGAGTCAGCCATGCAGCTCTTCTACACTTCATCTCCTCCCCTAGCATCCTCCTTCCTGCAGGCATCATGGATCGTCCCCTCGGACTGACCTGCATGGCCAAGCAGATGGTGTTGAGCAGGATGAGGACGAACATCAGGTATTCAAAGTAGGTGGAGTTGACCACGTACCACACTTTGTACTGGTGCTGGTTCTTGGGAATGTACCTCCGCAGGGGCCGGGCCTTGAGGGCATATTCCACGCACTGTCGCTGGGAGGGAGGCAGCGGGAGGGGCGGGGCGGGGATGGAGAGAGCGGGTTAGTAACCTGGATGATGTGTGTGGGGATGGCAGAGGAGGTGGGGTGTGGATGAAACTGCAAACCCAGGGCATCAGAGAAATAATCTACTTATCTAGCTCATTTACACGTTTGAGATGTTATTTGGACTTTTTTTTTTCCTATCACTCCCTTAATCAAGGAAATAATTGCCTCTAGTCAGTTTCCTTACCAAAATTTTGTCAAGGAGTTTGTGTCTCCTTTTTTCAACTCGGTAATGCCTTGTATACTGCTGACACTTAGGTGGCATTTGATGAATACTTACAGAATGACAGATACTTGGTCTTCCCATTGATTATTTCCTATGCCACAGACTCTCCTTGGGGCACTTCTTAACTTTTCCTTCCTGTCCTAAGTCAATCTCCCTTATTTACCCATGTCCACAAGATCAGAAGACATAGTTCAGGGACAGGGGATCAGATCTTGGGGCTAGCTAGAATCGTGGGACTCTAGCACAGATTCATTTTCTGTGCACTGGGCCCAGATTCCCGTATCAGAAACTGGGGACTCACTCCAGCCTCTTCACTTACCCTCAGCTTCCACATCCAATCTCTAGGCCTGACCAATTTTATTTCTTATCCTGTCCACCTCCACTATCATTAACCTGATAGTAGATCAGGGTCTAATCATCTCATCTACACTTTCTAATTGGCTTCCTTCTTTCCCATCTTACTTCCAATCCAAAGGCCATACAGCAGCCAGAATGATGAGTCTAAACCCAAGAGGTTGACATCAAAACCCATGAGGGGTCCAGTTGGCCTAACTGGTGTAGAGCTGAATGTCTTGTGCCCTGTACCTACCCATACAAGACCTTAAGTCACTCATGGACAGGGATACAGTTCCCCCTGACTCTCCCCATCGGGGAGCCTAGCTGGGGAAGCGACCTCAGTGACCACATGCTGCAGCCCACCGTAACAGCTTCATTCCTCCCTGACTGAGTTTCCAGCTCTTTCTCATAGGCCAACAGAATACCTCCCAGTACGGGCATTCCCATATCATTCCTCCTTAAGCCTACTTGCCCCCACCTCATGCACAGGCCTCTGTATTTTCTTTAAGAAACCATTTACTAGTGGTTTTCTAAAACCCCTCTCTTCCCCACCCTGAAACTCACTCCCTCATTGCTCTAGTTTCTTTCTTCATTATCAATGTGCCAACCCACGTGAACGCTTCCTGCCTTGTCAACTTCTGAGACACAGGGTATGGGTATTTTTCCCCCACAGAATCCATCATAGAGTCTCCTTAAGTAGATGCTTAACCAATATTTGTTGGCTGAATGCATTTGCCAGATCCAGGATTTGCATTTCTTTTGTCCAGGCCCTTCCAGAAGACTGACAGCCCTATTCCCTTGTTGAGGAGCAGACAGATGATCTTAGTATCCGCATGGATCACTCTCCTGACTCCAGCCTCTCTTCTGGGTGGGCCACAAGCTGCCAACTGCTGTCATTCCTCATGTAGCCTTGCTCCCCCCCACTGCCCTGCTACCTGTTCCTCTCCTTCCTAGGAAGCTACCTGGTTCTTGTCCAGCTCACAGTTCTTGTATTCCTGCTCCCCCTGCTCCTGGAAGGTGACAATGACGAAACCCACGAAGATATTCATCATGAAGAAGGCAATGATGATGATATAGATGATGAAAAAGATGGAGATCTCCACACGGTAGTTGTAGATGGGGCCCTTGTCTTCTGTGTGGGAGTCGATGGAGCGGTACAGCAGCCTGCAGGAGGAGACAGGCCCCAGATGGAAGCAGAGAAGCAGTGTTACCTCTGTGGAATGATGGCACCACTGCTCCTAGGGATCCTCGGATCAGGGGTGCTAGAAACAGCTCTAGGCTGGGAGTCAGAAGATCTGGGTTCAAGTCCCAGCTCTGCCACTTACTGGTATGGGACCATGGGCAAATCACTTAACCTCTTAGAGCCTCAGATTCTTCATCTGTACAATGGAGACAATAAGCCTAACTTTCCTACCTGGCCGGGTGGTTGATATAATGTATATGGAGGGTGTTTTGAAACCATCAAAAATTATTTTAATGTAAAATGAGTCATGGACATTGATTTCAAATACTAGAAATATTAGTAAATACTGAAACAGCTTTGCAAACTGGTATAGACTCAGAGGATGTTACAACGAATATAAAAGAAATCTATCTGAGAGCAAATATCCATTTAGATAAAAATATTAGATAAAAAATGACCCAGGCTTATTTAGATCATCAGCAATGGTTTGGATTCATACTTAGGTAGTTTACATGTGTATGCCATTCATTTGGGCCTGGACTACGTGCCCATGATGCTTATTCCTCTTCATGGATAGGGATTATCTCCTCTTTCTCCTTTGTTACTCTGCACAGTACTCAGTTATTCTCTAGGTATTATCTATATTTTACCACCTAAGAATGGTGACTCTCATATCAGATCCATGTGCTATTACTGACTTAGAAATATTTAGAATTTTCTCTTTTAAATAATAATTTCCCTGGAATACACTAGGTAGGGGGTATGGGGAAGCAGTTGTCTACACAAGATATATGGAACAACCTGGTAGAGGTGATGCAGTGTAAAAGGCCAGCCAGGTTGGTCTAGGCATTATCTCTGCAGAGGAATTTGGACTCAGGCTTCTGTCCCTTTCTTACGTCTCACTGTAATTATAGGCAAGGCTTTTTCTAAGGAGATGGGGGTAGAGTCTAAAAGATAGCTATCTTGGCCATCTCTACCCACATTGAGTGCATGTTGGGAGCAGTACTCTTGAATCCTATGGTAATCTAGGGGCTCATACCTAGAGAAACTCACCCCACTCCTAGATGCCATGAGAGTAATGACAAAGACCCTTGTCATTGGGGCTCACTCTGAGGTAGGGAGGGGAAGATAAACGAAGCTCATTTTTGGTTGGAATTTCTGAAATGTTGACATCTTCTAGAAAAAGAAGAGTCTATGTTTCAGCAGTGACCATGGAATGCAGATTGTTTTAGAAACAAACCCTCATTGCTTGGGAAGGACACAGGTAAGTATGACTTCTGGGAAGGAGTGTGGGAGAATAATAAAACTTGGGGAATGTCTTGACCTCTAATATCAGGGTGGGCAGGCCTTGATTTGTATACTCACTCTGGCCACCCCTCAAAGGTAGAGACGGTAAAGAGGGCCATCATGGCCGCCAGAACATTGTCAAAGTCAAACTTGCTGTTCTCCCAGCTGCGGGGTTGGATGATGGGGTGGTCGACCTCCCCGTCCTTGTATGTGATGTAGTTACCCCTGAGAAAGAAGGAAGAGTTAATTCTTGGGTCTCTCACCTCCCTTCACACCTGAGCCACCAATGACTCCTGGCTTGCTGGGTGGGATGAGACTGGCCAGGCTTAAACCCTACAGTGCTAGCCATTGGAAAGAACTTGAGAGGGTAGACCTTTCAAGAATAGATAATCTTACATGTCATGTCAATGTGATCAAATTACCCATGGGTCAAAGTTCAGCTGTCAGTGCCATCTCAGAAAGAATGGGTTGTCCCTCCTCTCAGGCCAAGTCACCAACCTCCCAGAGTTAACTAGCTTTGGTGCTGGCTGCCCTCCTGCTTGTACTCACTTGCATTCCGCCTCAGTCTGTTTGGAACTATCTGAGCAGGTGTAGAGCTTTCCCTGGAAGGCAGAAGAACAAAGTGATTGGAGATGTTCATTAATCAATGAATCAGTCAAAAAATGATTAGTGATCATCTCTATAGCCCAGCACTATACTAAGGACTTGGGATGAAAAGTGCAAGGAGAGCAGAATTGAATTGGGAAGATATGACTTGTATATACAAAGCAGGCAGTGAATAAAGATGCTCAGTGTTGCAAGTACCACTGAAAAAAAAAAAAAAAAGGGAACTCTACTCCGTGAAAGCTGGACTCTTTCAGCTGGCCTGAAGAAGGGTAGAAGTGGAACAGGGTTTGGAGGGACAAATTAGATGGGAGGAAATCAGGGGAATTTATATGGTCGGTGGGAGAAGGCAGGGGGAAGGATGCTTCAGATGGGAGAACAGCAAAAATAAAAGGATTAAGGCAGAAAGAGCAGAGACCATGGACACCAGCCTCACCATAGCTGAGGGGTCTTGTCTGGATGCAGTGAGAGAGAACCTGGGTGGATGCAGGGTTCTGAAAGCTAGGTGAAGAAGGGTGGATTTGATGCTGTTGATAACAGGGGACCATTTCGGGTTTTAAGCAGGTGACTGACATGAGGTTTCAGAGGATAAGAGGCCCTCTCCCTTTCTTGCTAGAAGGATGGGCAGGCACTGCAAGGGCAGGCTGCGCTGTGAGGGCGAGGGGTCCTTGGCCTGGTGGAGAGCACCCCCTTCCAGGCTCTTCCTCTTCCCCTGGGGGACGCTGAGAGGAGGGTGGCTGGAGGTTCCACTCATCCCAAGTCTGACTCAGGCCGCTGTCCTCTTTTGGTTGTATCTGCCAGCTCTGTTTCTCAGGAATACTGAGAGGAGGGGAAGGAAGCAGGAGCACAGATCAGAGTCAAGATGTTACCTTGAAAAGCTGGACCCCGATGCAGGCGAACATGAACTGAAGCAGTGTGGTGACAATCACGATGTTCCCGATGGTCCGGATGGCAACAAACACGCACTGAACCACGTGCTGCAGTGGGAAGAGAGGGCAGGGGAAGAGATGGTGTTCTGGAAGTGCCTGCAGCCTGAGCTTCCTTCAGCTAAGCCAAGAGCCTTTCTGAGGAGGCTGAATGGGCAGCGCCTTTGCCAAAAGGGGAAATTCAGACTCAAACAGGCAAAGAACCTTCCCAGGTTCACATGGTGATGGAATCCAATGGAACCCAAAGTCCCCTGTTGGGCTCTAGGTGACTTTAGGGACAAAAGCCCTGCTAGCTTCCCATTTTATAGGGGTAGGAATATGGGGACCTCATCATTATGTGGGGCCCTGGGTTTTTGTGTGCATCTTCTTCTTGTGAAAGTTTTGCTTAGACGTTCTGATTTTGAATGGCTGCCTGTCCTTGTTCTCTTCTCCCTGAAGTGGAACTGGTGGTACAGGCAGGAGAGTCCAGGCTCCCACACAGCAGCCACTTGCCCTGGTTATTTCTCTGCCCTCCAGCCTACTGCCCTCCCATCTCCTTGTTTAACTTCCGCCAACCCCCAGCCTGGTAGATGCTTGCTGGGCTGCTGGCTACCCCCCAGACCCATGCTTCTCACCTTTAGCCCCTTGGCCCTGTTGATGGCCCTCAGGGGCCTGAGGACGCGCAGGACTCGTAAGATCTTCACCACGTTGATTGCGCTGGACCTGGGAGAGGGAAATAGGGCAGGCGAGTAAGCTCCTCTTTTGGTGGAGCAGGAAATAAGGTGGTGAGGGGGTGTGTTGACAGGCTGACCCCAGGCCAACTTGAGAAAGTGTAAAGTCTGTTTTGGGGGATTTTTCTCATCCTGGGACCATTCTCTACTCCCACCTCCCACCCCCCTAGAAGAGCCTAGAACTTGCCGGTGACCCTGGGACTTCCTGTTGGTGTGTAAATAACATGAAAAGCAATTTACCATGAGTCATTAGCACTATAATGTGCTACTCAGGGGAGCTTTAGACAAGAAAAGAGAAACCCGAGCTCGGCCACTTAACAGCCAATTCACTGAGGATAAATTTTCTAACTTTTCTGAACCTTAGTTTTCATCTGTAAAGTGGGCCTCATAAGGTTGTTGCAGGGATTAAATGAGGAAACATATCTGTATCATCTAGCAATGTGCTTTGCACATATTATGAACAATAAATGGTAACTTTATTAGGTGGTGGAGATTCAGGCTTTGTTTGCTGGAGGTGATGGGCGGGGGAGGAGATATTCTGGATCTCCAAATATGTGTCCTAGGTAGTTGCCCATTACGTGCGTATATGAAACCCACTGGTTCACAGCACACTCAGAACTTGAAAGAATGGATTCTACACAGCAGGTCCTGCATACCTGGATGCTAGGGCCTGGCCAGGATCTCTGGGAGCTTCAGGCTTTTTCTGTTCCCCAGTGGAAATGAGGCACCAGGGTGCAGTTCTCCCCAGAAGCCCCTCAGCAGGAAGCCTACATGGTTTCTGGAGTTATTCATCAACCCAACCCAGGTGGGGTCTATCACAACCCTCACACACTACCCTGATTGAGATATCCTCTCAAACTTTCAGAGAGCTTGTACCCACCTTGGGACCTAAAAAAATGTATGACACCTCAGACAGGGCTATTTCATTCTACATGAGGTCAGGATAATGTGCTCAAGAGGGAGCTGGTAGAAAGATCGGATTTCTCTGGTTCATGGCTCTTTTACCCCGAAGGATTTAAAGGGCATTCCTAGTCATCCCAGTGTCTCAGGGAGGGAGTCTGTTTGCACTGAATGGCAATGGAAGGGATTTTAAGATCAGGTGGGGGAAAGCACAGAGAAGAGGGGGGGTTTGTTTCTCGGTTCCAGGTTAAATAGTAGTTTAGTGGTAGTGCTGGGATTAGAATCTAGACCTGTAGGCTCCTAGGCAGATAGCTGGGATAATACAACTGATGATCACAGAAAAGGTCTCACTCCTCATGTCCCCATGTCCACTCTTTCTAGGCTTACCATGAAAACACCCTTGGGAAGGGAGACCCAGGACCCTTTTTCCTCTGCAATTGGTGTGACCTTGGGCAAGTCTCATGCCCTGAACCTCAGTTTTCCTGTCTATAAAATGGTGGTAACAGCCCCTGCCCTGCCTGCCTCATATGTTTTTTTGTGAGGACCACAGAAGATTGTACACCTGAAAGTGCTTTGAGGTTGAAGGGCAGGGTTAACATTAGCAGCAGATAGAACTTGGGAGACACTAGTAATCGGATCCTGTTAATTAAGCAAATTGGCAACCTTGGTTGTACACTGGAGTCTCCTGGAGAGCTTTTAGAACTCCTAAAGCCCAGGCCTGTACCCCAGACCAATTAAATAAAAACTTGGGGAGACGGATCCAGGTAAATGTCCTTCCTGAAACTACTCAGGTGATTCCACTATGAAGCCAAGATTGAGAATCGGTAATTCCCCTCTCTCTTTCTCTTTCCCCCACCCACCTTCTTCTCATCAGGTTCTTTGACTGGAGAGAGAAAGGGAGGGAAGATGGTCAGGAAGATCAGAGCTGGTCACAGCAATGCCAGGCCCTTGGAGCTGAGGGTAGCCAAGGGCACTGGGCACGTGGTGGAGGAGGCAGGAAGGCCCTGGAGACATTCCTCCGTTATAACTGGGCCCGGCCCTGCCTGTCATGGCAAGATCCAGATATTTAAACATCTTCTTGCTGGATCAACATACCCCCAAGTGTCACACCATTAAGGACGTGTACAAAAAGCCATCATGTTTTACAAGTCAGGGGCCCCACCCCATTCCTGTCACAGTCACACCGGTGGCCATGCAGGAATGCCCTCCAGAGTCTTGGTCATCCTCTCTGACACCCATTTCCACTTGTGTGCCCCCATATGGGGCCGAGGGAGTCCTACTCACTGGATGCCAAAGGAAATGAGGGACACGCTGACCACCAGCAGGTCCAAGATGTTGAAGTAGTTTCGGCAAAAAGAGCCCTTGTGTAGGAAAGCCCCATAAGCAGTCATCTGCAGGGAGGCACAGAGAAACATGAGCATGAGTGGTCCCTGCCCAAGCTCCAGAGACCCCCTCATGCCTCCCTCTCCTCCCACAGCATCCCTTGGGTGGGGCAAGCTGAAGAGCAGTGAGAGGACTGGGGGCAGGCAGGACTGCAGAAGGAGAGGCAAGACCGAGGACAGCATTCTGCAACCATTTATACAACCACCACACAATCCCCAGCTCTGGATGGTTAAGTGGTTCCTTCTACCTACTAGACCACACCAGACTCTTCCATCCTATATTTGGAGCCTTTTCAGATTGGGCACTGCCATCCCTCTCTCATTTTCCACCACTGTTCCTCATCACATGTCCGTGGCTCTGGCCCTGAGGGGCCCTTTGCTGATACTGCCCAGACCAGTTTTCACTTGGATGCAAACTTTCCAACCTCCTGTTCAAACTCTATCAACCCCCAGGGCCAGCTTCAGACATTAAGCATCTGGGGAAAGGTGGGGCATGCCCAGTGGGGTGACCAACTGTCCTGGTTTTCCCAGGATTTTCCTGGTTTAGCACTGAAAGTCCTGTGTCCCAGCCAGGCAACTCTTCAGGCTCAGGCAAACTGGGACAGCTGGTCACCCCAGTGCCCATTGAGAAGTTTTATTAATAACTTTGGCAATTAGCATCCCTCCACTTCCTAAGCTTAATTAGTGTTTATGATCTATGCCACATATTCTAAACTCAGTTCTATTATCTTGCTTCTAGACTGATATTCTTTGAGGCCAGAGCTGTGTGTTCAGAGGGACAATGTGGTACCATGGTTAAGAGCATAGGTCTGGAGCCAGGATGCCTGAGTTTGAATCCCAACCCTGTCATATTTTATTTGTATGGCCTGGAACAAGTTACTTAACTTCTCTGAGTCTCAGTTTCCTCATCTGAGAAATGAGGGTCATGATAATATCTCCCCTATAGGGTTGTAGGCATCAAATGAGTTATTACAGGTAAAACACTTACACTACCCTGCAAATACTAAGCTTCATGTAAGTGTTAGCTGTCACTATAGAGAACTGAACATAGGGTCAGATAGACTGGATTTGAATTCTGGATTCTTCCTATATAAGGATGTCCAGTTTCCTCATCTACAAAGCGGGCATACTATTCCCTGTCTTTGTGAGGCACGCACAGAAAGACAACGTGAAGGCCCTTTGAAGACTAAAATGGGAGCACATGGGATGGTGATAATTTTTACAGGACTTGGCTATTATTACCTCTCTCTGAGCTCAGTATAAAGCCACTGTAGACACTCAAACAACCTTTCCAATTCTGTTGACTTGAATTAAGAGGTAACAGATTTCCAGGTTAAGGGTTGTGAAAGGCCATGGGCAGTGAAGCATCAGCCAAAGGGAACAATTTGGAGCTACTGGCTGGGAGACTGAGAGTGGCTCCCTGGTCATCTGGGGTCCAGTTTATCTCTTTGGAATCAGAGCATGCCCAGGGCAGCATGTCCGCAGAGCAATTCAAAAGCAAACACAGGGGAAACTGGCAAAAATAGTTCTTGCAACCTAATTCTTTCCATTTATCTCTTGCTGCAGGGGGTCACAGGGGACTGAGACACCTGTGTCCTGCAACAGTTTCTAGAAGTGGGTATATTATATAAAAGGCTGCAGGGAATATAGTTGGAGATTTCTCTTGAAGGCCCGCCATCTGGAGGGGCTTGCTGTCCTGTATCTGGTGAAGATCTAGGACCCCAGAGACTAGACTTGGGTGGTTCCTACAGTTCACTTAACTGAAGAACCCCTGCACCTGTAGAAGGCCAAGCACCTTCCCCAGCCATCTCACGTTCAGTCTCAGAAAAGGTGCTGAGTCTGACCCCACCTCACTCCTGGTTTGGACACCGTGAGGACACTATGGAGCACCACAGAGCCCTCCACAGCAGGAGCACTCCTTGAATAGGTGCACTAGTGGGTCTCACTCTGCCAACGTCTGTCCTATGACTTTGGGATCCTATTTGTCAGGGGACCTAGAATGAGACCAGCACTCCAGGAAGTGTGTGTGTGTGGGGCAGACACACATGCCCAGGCAGGGCTAGAGGAAGAGTGGTCAGGGGAGAAAGGGCAAGTGGATACTGAAAAATTGGAGCATTTATTTGAAAATTATCCTAGGCATTTAAGACAACAGAAGAGGCCAGGTTCAGGTACCCAGTGCAAAGTGTCCTTCCTTTACCCCGTTTGGCTGATGGCCACCCACTCATTTCCTGCTTCCCAAAAGTTCTAAGCCATTGCATAAGCAAAGCCTATTGCTGGGGTATTTTCAGGATGAGGGAAGAAAAAAGGTAGGCATGAGATCACTGACTCTCTGAGCTGGTAGGGCAGGAAAACCCCTCTGTCCAGCCAAGGGTGGCCACTGCCTCCCCAGGCAGCCCTTCTAGTTACTAGATGCATCTTGTAACTGTACTCACTGGGCCTGGGTCACCTCCTCCCTCCTCTATGTGACAGTCCTTTGCAGTATGCAGGCCAACTGTCATGGTCCTACAAGCCCTTTCTTTTTAAGGCCAAACGTCCCCAAGTCTTTCAAGTGTTCTTGAAACGAAATGCCCCTTGGAGGATGGGACCATCATTGTCTGTGCCATGGCCAGAAGCTGAGCCTTTGGGAAAGACAGAGGGACCCAGTGGAAGGAGGTGCAGGGAAGTGGAGTGGGGACTGGGGTTTTTATTTAGAAGCACACTGAGCCACAAAGGGAGTAGAAGAGGGTGAGGGTGAAGGGAAGGAAGGCTCTTGCCATGACAATGCTGGCAAAGAGACCTTTCACTTCTGCTCATGGCAACCTTGAAGGAAAGACAGCACTGCTGAAATCCATATGGGAAGCTCTGTGGAGCAGTCCTGAGAACTGAGACTCAGAGCTTTTCTTGTCTCGGGAAAGAGGTTTGGGGATTTGAGTGCCTCCCTGAGTCTGAAGTCCAGGATAACTCAGTTCACCATGGAAAGTGGTTTTACAGAGTATATCTTCATGTAGTCGGGCAGCTCTTGGCTCCCTCTTCCACTGACAGGAATCAGGGCCTGGTCAGATCCACTGCCCTTGAGCAGAAGAGAAAACCCAGGGAACACCCTTGGTCACTGGAACCAGGGACAGAAATTGGGGGTCTGGACAGCTCAGCTTTTTGGGGATAAAGACACAAGAGAGGCACCCCAAACTGCTCCACTCAACTTCTATTAGAACTGTCACATACATTAAAGGGTTGGGACTTGACTTGGGAGTTGCATTAAGAAAGGAAGGGTCTATGGGCGCCTGGGTGGCTCAGTTGGTTAAGCGACTGCCTTCGGCTCAGGTCGTGATCCTGGAGTCCCAGGATCGAGTCCCGCATCGGGCTACCTGCTCAGCGGGGAGTCTGCTTCTCCCTCTCCCACTCCCCCATCTTGTGCTCTCTCTCTCTCACTCTCTCTCTCAAATAAATAAATAAAATCTTAAAAAAAAAAAAAAGAAAGGAAGGGTCTGTCTGCCGGCTGGCTGTGGTACATGGTCAAGCATGGACAGTGGCTTGCATCAGCCCCATGAAGGGGGAAAAGGGAGCCTGGACTCCTTGAAAGGAGTCCTAGGTGAGTCTCCCAGGAAGAAGACACCAAGCTGAGGCATATGCTTTAGAGCATATAGCCCTTCTGTTCAGGGTAATGGTAAAATCCATTCTGTTGTTCTGAGAAGAGAGCAAGTGCTGAAATGCACTTTTCCCGCATCTCAGAGATCACACCCTGAGTCTTAAGTGGAATGGCTTGGCGATGCATTGTTTTAGAGGCTGAGAACTATACTGGAAAAACATAGAAATCATAATAAAATAAATATGAACATTAATTATAAATTAGTATAAGTAATAAAACAAAACTTAGAAAACAATCTCTCTCATCCCAATGCTTTCAGAGGTGGGCTCCACTGATCGGGTAATTCTGTAGCAGTTCCTCCATCAGGGCCACCAGCATCTGGGGCCACCAGCCCCAGGTGGGGCCAGGCCTGTGTGCTCTCAGGACTGGGGTTTGGGACCTGAGTGCTCCAGCTTCTTTCAGTTCACTCCCCTGTACTTAGCTCTCCATTATGATTCTCCCTCCTCCACGCCTTAGGGCAAGGGGCATCATAACAAAGCTTTTCAGCAGGAAACCGAGGATTCAGAAGTAATCTACAGTCATCTGTTGAAAGCCCTCATTGGCAGGCTGGTCATTAGGCCCATGATTACTATCACGCAGGCCCAACTCCAGCCTAGCCCTGGTGCCTGCCCCTAGTACTGAGGAAAATGTTGTGGAAGGTGTTGACAACGGCTGTCCAAAGGAGGTCGACCAAGTGGCTTTCCATGCCCCATGAGTGTTTCCACTCTTGGAGTTTGCGTAGCATCTCTTCTGGGCAGGAGGAGGGAAGGGAGCTCTGAGCAGGGGTCAGTCATCAATTACCCAGAGATGGGGTATGTGGGTGTGTGTGTGGCGGGGGGGGGGGGGGGCACTGCGGACTGGCACAGTGCCAGAGCTGATAACAGGACAGCATCAGTGTTGACACTGTGAGCCACATGCCCCTTCCAGACTGAGAGGAAGCACAGCACAGCAGGCCGGGCAGGGGGGGAGGGGTGGTGGTGGTGGTTCTTCAGGCTTCTGAGCCGGAGCAAAGTGCATAGCATAAAGTGAGGGGCACTAATTCTTCCAATCTCAGGCTTGAGAGTACAAAAGAGTGAGTGAAGGAAACAAGAGAGAAAAGAGACAGGCAGACAGAGCAGAGATAGAGAAAGAGACAGAGAGTGCATTGCTCAGATTGTATTACCTTAAGGATAATTTCTAATGTAAAGATACTAGTGAAGACATAGTCTGCATTGCCTAGGATCTGAAAAATAAGCAAAATTGGATTAGTGGCTCTGAGAGTGAACTCGACACCAACAGAAGCATGTGTGTTAGCAACAGACAGCAGCAGAGAGCTAGTGCCGGCTCCTGGAGGAAGGGAAGAGGAGAGAGGGGTTGGGACTTTACCTTCAGAGCAATTTCAATGGTGAAAATGGTAGTGAAAACAATGTCAAAATAAAACAGAATCTGCAAAACAAAAAGAAACAGGGTGGGGATGGGTTGGGAAGGGAGAGAAGCAGGCTGGAAGGAGAAGTCAGCTCCAGAACCACACTACATGTCACCTGAGATTTTCCACATGGAGACAGATGGAAGCAAGTTAGGAGATGAGTAGCATATACACAGCATTGGATCCTGAAGCGGGGTTGGCCTGAGGCAGCTTAGTGGCTCCAGATGAAGTCCCCAGACATGTGAGGGGGGCTTCCAAGGCAGGACTCAGTGGGTCCTGGGTCTGGGCAGCATTTGGTTGGATGTTTTTCTCATTAATCCAATTTACTTACAAACCCCAACCAGACCATTGGGATACGTGTCAAAAGGACAGACTGGGGTTTGCTTTTTATTGCAGGAAAATGCAAAATGCTTAGCTCACATTGGTGTGACTCAGCTAGCTTCTCATGTTGGTGGAAATCCTGGTGTTGTGTTCTTTGGGGCATGGGAGGGAGTATCCTCCAGGTGAGGACTGCCCAGGCTTGGGACAGGCTGCATGGTTTCATCCTCTATTATATTTCAGGTGATGGATCAGAGCTAGGGCCAACACCTTTCTAAGAAAACTCTGGACCAAGCAGGCTGCAGGACCACCAAATCGTTTGGCATGGGTATGGCTTTAGGTTGGTGGACTCCTCTCTTCATGCCTACCTGGTTGGAATTTGACAAAGTTTTGAGGCTTTGAGATATAACAATTCTTACTCTAGCCTTTAATGTTGTTCACCAGAGCCTTGGCTGTGTCTCCAAATTTAGTTTTCTACTCTACACAAGGTCATTGAAGCTCTCCTTTATATAAGGTCAGCCTCACCATTGGCACCTGTTTGACAATGCTCCCCTCATCTCCCCAGTGATTGGGACTGGTCAGAGTTTATTAGGAGCAAGGCAGGAAGTCAGTGGCTACTTTTTCTTTCTTTCTTTCTTTCTTTTTTTTTTTTTTTTTACTAAGTATGCAAGGAACCAGAGCCTTCAGGGAAACATCCACAGGGCAATGAGAGTCCTGAACTTTGCCAATCAGGCCAGCCTGAAGCATTTGGGTACATGTTCTCTTATTTGTTTCGGATGGTTTCTACCAAAACCCTAATCTCTTAAAGAAAATTTATTGTGCATCTGATTACAATATTTGGAATTGGGCTCCTGATTGAGGGCCCAGTCCCATTCCTGGGAGGAAGGGGTGCAGGGGACAAAAGGGAATGCATACATGGTTCCTGAAGGAGGTGTGCTGGACGGGGTCCTCAGCTGCCAGGGAAATGCTGCTGAGCAGAATGAAGAAGAGGATCAGGTTGGTGAAGATTGTGTCATTGACGATGCGGTGACACTGGAGGCGAAATCTGTGTGGGGAGGAGAGAAGGACAGAAGCACGTCAGGTAGGCAAGGGAAGCAGCTCCCGGGTCCCTGGAGCTCAACACTCCTTCACTCAACTTGTGAAAGGTGCTTGTTCGTTTGGGGGTAGGCTCTTCAACTGAGGTCTTACGGCTGCTGGGTAATGACAACCACATCCCACCCCACCCCCCTCCGTGCCCCCACTGTGAGGCACATCTGCACAAAATTTTGCACTTTCACAGGCAGTTAGCTTTTGACATTTTGGAGGGTTACATCTGAGACCTTTGGGAATCCCCAAATTTTCATATACTTCTGTGACATTAACAGCTGGCTCTTTGGGAGGGACTTCTTTTTCCCATCATTAAAAAATCATTTCATAAGAGCTTCATATATTTATGTATAGGGAATGACAGAGCTACCCAGAGACGTGGATGGTGAGAGGCCAGCTCATCTTACACTCTGGCTAGGCAATTGGCTCCTGTGTAATAGCTTCAAGGCATGCAATTAAATTCCACACCTCAGCATAATTACAAGGAACTACACGCATGGACCTCTGGGCACTCATTGACGGTGTCACAAATGCTAGATCCTTGAATGCCAAGTGTGTCTTATATAGTATCTCATACTGGCAGCCTAGGAATGGGATATGGGTGTTAGTATCTTCATTTTATAGATAAAAACACTGAAACCCGAGAAGGAGAGCCGGCCCAGAAAGACAGCTTGTAAAGTGTTGTGTGTGCTTGGCTGGGGGGTGGGGGGGTTTGGGGGGGTGGTTAGGACTTGAATCCAGTTTCAGACTTCTGCTCGCAGCATTGTGATTGACTAAATGCTCTGAGAGACCCTAGTGCTGCAGAAGCAGCAAATCCTGGAAAGGACAAACCCTTTGAGACAATTCTGGCTTCATTAGAGTTAAGAGGTCTGCAATGATTATCCCTTTCAAACAAATAAACAAACCCATTGAGCCAGGGTCTGTGTGATAGGTAGCCAGGAAGGGCAGAGTTGCCTGAGGATAGATGCCAGTGGTAGCCCTGCTATCAGGAAACTGCATTTCAAGCCAGACTCGAGGTGGGGCACAGAAGCTTGGGACTCTCAGGCTGAGCCAACACGCTTAAGAAGCATCTGGAAGAAAGCTTCCCAATCTTAATTTAGGTCCACAGGGATCTCACCAACTAAGATAATGTATTGAGGTCATAATCAAAGATTAAGCACACAAGAGGATGAGCCGCTAAGATGGGAAATCAGAAGAAACTACAAACAAGTGATTTAGAACCCCCTCCCAAAGACTGTGTATACTGGACACATCAGATAGAGAATGTAGAACAACTATATTTCGAATATTTCACAGAATAAAGGACTTGAGCACAAAGATGATGAATCAACAAGGGAAGTATTAGATATAGACAGATGGATCTGGAAAAATCAATCAGCAAATGGAATTGTTTGAAATGAAAAAAGAATTAAGTTGATTTAAAAACTGGTTTAAATAGTAACATAGACAAAGTTGAAAAGAGAATGAAGAAATTGGAAGCTATATCTGAAGAAATTACCCTGAATACGAAAAGAGAGATAAAGAGGTAAAAGATTTGCAAGACACAGTAAGAGAGGACAGAATGAGAAGGTCTAACCTATGTCTAATTGGAGTGCCAGAAGAAAAGAATAGAGAAAAAGAGATTATGGCTGCAACTTTTCAAGACTTAGAAATTCTTATTCTAACTTTTAATGTTGTTCAAGAACTGGAGAAAAATACAAATCCACAACATCCCAGGCAGGATAAATGGAAAGAAATCCATATTTAGATACATGGTAGTAAATCTAAACAATATCAAGGCAACAGAAGATGTTCAGAGCAGCTAGAGATAAAAAGCAGATTACCTACAAAGGAATGAGAGTAGGAATGATACACTATAATAATATGTTTAACACACTGTGAGACAAATTCTATTGACCTAAAATTGTATACATAGCAAAACTATTTTCCAAGAACAAGAAATGAAAACAGAGATAAACAGAGGCCAAATAACTTTACTGTAAAGGAATACTAGGGGCTTCTAAAAAAATGTGCTTAGGAAGAAAGAAAATGATTGCAGAAGGAGGGACTGAGATGCATGAAAAAATGGTGAACAAGTAAAATGGCAAGTTGTATGTACATCCAAATCTACATTGTCTATAGAATGATAATGATAATGATGATAATGTCTAACTTGTTAAGTTAAAAATAGTTAGGACTAAAAATACTAAGCAACAACATATAAGTTAGGAGGGCTGAGAGGAGTTAAAGTAGTATAAGTTCCTTCTATTTTGCAGGAGGAGGTCTAGGATACTGCTTTATTTTAGACTTTGTTAAGTTAAATAGACTTAGTAAATTACCAAAGGTAATCACCAAAAGACTAGAAATAGAGTTTACATGTGTCAAAAAAATGGAGGGAAAAACAGACACAGGTCTCCTGATTTGGAATCCAGGGTACTGTTTACACAAGTTGTGGGGGGTTGGCAGAGTCCCAGGCTCCACTAGAGGTCGGAGGATGCTGGCATCTGCTGCGCATGTGGCTTGGAGAGAGCAGAGTCCCACCTTTCCCACCATTCTCGCACACCTGTTGTTGGGGCTGAAGATGAAAAACGCACTGGCTTCTGGCATGGGCACTGCCTTTTCCTTAAGGTGCAGCTCAGAGAGTGGTCGTGGGCGGGGGCCCACAGGCATCTCAGGCTCCTCCTCATCCTCTTCTCCTGTAGAAAAAAAAGCACCGTTCTAAATAACTCCACTACTCCCACGAGGTTTTACCGCTATGCTGCCTTCTTCCAGATACCTTCCTACCGCCCAAAATCAAGACATCATTTGCGTCTCTGAAAATGAGAAGTATCAACTGAGACACTCAGCTCTCTCCCTGTGAGTGCTGGAATCTTTGTTAGAGAGACTTTTCTGGCAGCACACAAGGGGGGTTGTAAGTAGGGTGACTAGTTCAATCCCAGTTTGCCAAGAACTGTCCTGGTTTCTAAACTGAGATTCCCACATCCCAGGAGGCTCCTCAGTCCCATGTGGATTCGGATGGTTGGTTATCCTAGTTGTAAGGCACTAGGAAAGGTGATCAGATAAGACTAGGGCATTGCCAGGTGTCTTTTCCATCTAGGCTGCAGGTAGGGGCATGGGTACAGCTCAGTTGATTTGCAAGCAACCCCATCCTTGAAGGTTCTAGGAGTTTAAAATTAACACTCCCATTCCTGAAAAATACCAAAAACTCATGTGCTGTAGGGATAAAAGGGCAACGATGCTGACCACAACAAGCACTTCATTCAAAAGTCTAGACATTAGCACCAGTTAAAGAAGCCCCTTTGTTCTCCAGGCTAGTGGCCACATTCACTGTGGACCAAAAGGAAATGGCTTACTTTGCTTGCGAGGTCATTACCCATGGTAGGAAATGACTACATATCCTGTTCTGATCAAATGTATTTAAAAATGTTTAGAAGGGGAATGGGAGTAAGAGCATGGGTTCTCCAGCCAATGCCTTGACCCAAATCTTGGCTCTGTTTCTTTTTGGCATTTAGTCTCTCTGTCTCTCAGTTTCCCCATTTGTAAATGGGATAATAGTACATACCTACGTCAGAGTGGCGCCTGGCACATGCAAGTGCCATATAAACGTTAGCTGTTGTTACGATTTCTACCCACAGGAAAGACTCATAGCCTATAGGTAGTGCTTAACATCTTTCTCAGTCTGACCTCTGCCTGCTCTTATTCCCTGACAGACTTTCCACTCACATCAGCCTGTTTTCTGAAGGCTCATGGTAGTGGGTTGAATCATGTCCCCCACAAACTCATGCCTAGCCAGAACCTCAGAATGTGACCTTACTCTGGAAACAGTGTCTTTGCAGATGTAGAGTCATGATGAAGTCATATTGGAGTAGGGTGGGCCCTAAATCCAAGGACTGCTGTCCTTATAAGGAGACACAGAGACACATATGTAAAGACAGAGGCAGACGGGAGTGATGAGGCTGACAGGCAAGGAGCGCCAAGGACAGCTGGCCATCAGCAGAGATGGGGAAGAGGCGAGAGAGGATCCTCCCTGGAACCTTGAGACGGGGGATGGTCCTGCCAACACCTGAGTTCAGACTTGTAGGCTCCAGAACCGTGAGAAAATAAATGTTTGCTGTTTAAAGCCACCAAGTTCATGGTTATTTGTTATGAGAGCCCCAGGAAATGAATACACTCGCCATGTGCTTTCTCCTTTCCTTTCCTCACTCCGTCTCCTTATTTGAACTGCTCTCATCTCCCTCTCTGCAGAGCTAGAAGGACTCCCATGTCAGACAGTATCATTCACATGGCTCTCATGAGTACCTGAGCTCTCCAGAATGACCTTCCTGTGATTCCAGAGCCCTGTCGGCCTCCTGCATTCACTTGGCACCTAGGACAAAATAGCTCGAATGCCTGATTTTACATGTATCTATCTGTTCCATCTCTGAGAGAGACACTATAGAGAGAGACACTATGCCCAGCACGTAGTTGCCCTTAGTTTTTGATGATGATTACACGTTCACACTAACATTTGCTTTATAAGGAAGAGGACTTTGTAAAAGAAGGTCAGGTGGAGACTCAGCTGTTGGAAAGATAGTTATGAGAAGTTTATCTTATGGACCAGCCATGTCTCTGCATGCTCTCTCTTCTTCTGGTTAAAATGAAGCCAGGTGGTGCAGAGAAAAAAAAAATGCTTGGCACAGAAGGTGGTTCTTTATCAAGCAAGAAGCATTTAGGGCCCCAACGTTTTTTTGGAGAACCAGCGGAATATAGGCATAAATCAGTTTTTTTTCCCCTGGAGTAATTAGAGCTGACCAACAAAGCAATTAATATTTTTAGCAGAAGAGAGCTGTGAGATGAAAAATTGTGTACAGGCCAAGGGTTGGAGCCTTCTAACCAAAACTTGGTAGGTAGAAGAAAGGCAGAGTCTCCTAGTAAAACAAAATAAATAAAACTGGAGTTGGCCTAAATCGAAATCTTTACAAATGAAATTTCACTGAGAAGGCTCTTGAATTCCTGCCCAACTTGTTTGTATTCTTTTCAGTTTTGCTCTAAATGACCCAACAATTTCTTATTCATGATAATTTGGTAATAGGTAATTTAATGCTTACTTTAATCATTCGTGTTTATAGAAAAACATATTTCCTAGCTTTGTGGTTTTCCGAGTTCCTAGCGAAGAGTTTTTTCATGCTCTTTCATCTGCAATAGCCTGCCTCGCTGTTCTGAAGCTCTACCCTGATTTCCATTGCTAGGGAGAAGCAAGTCAGTCGGTTCAGACACAGAGCAGCTGAATTCCAGGCATAATGTTTAAGAGGAAACCACTTCTAAAGGACAAACCCAAATTTGTGAAAGGCCAGAAATCTGACAGCTGTGATGCTTTGCATGTATTATGGATAAGGAGCGAGGTTGGCAGAGTAGGAAAAGTCAGGTAAAGTTCTGTTTATAGGGTTGGCAGCAGAACTACCTATACTCCCGCTCCCAGATGCCAGTGGACTCCCTTGGGGATCTTTATTTTCTCATCTCCGTTCTCGGAGGTGTGGAGAAGCACACTGTGGACTTGCTTTCCAGATGGCAGGTGCCAGTGCTCAAAGGTAAAACTCCGGGGTAGCTGAATGCCCGACACTTGATCCTTGGTGATCCTTGCCCCCACCCCATTTGATACTCATTTTCACCTCTGTGATTTTGCTCATGGCCAATTCAGATAAAAATATTATTTCTAACATCTAGTGCCTACAGCGTACTGAACACAAAGCTGTGGTTCTTGCCCTCAAGGGACTTACAGTTTTTAGTGTGACCCCAGAGTTCACTGGCATGATTGGCAAGGCCACGCCCCCCGGAAGCGAGCTGTGTGGGTGGCGTCCAGAGACAGAAGGCTGAGGATGCACCTGCTTCTGCATCGGGCATGTTCTCTGCTGGCTCAGCTCCAAAACCTCATCTCCTCCCATTGCTCATTTTCTCTCTCTGACTTCTAGGCCACTAGCAAGTCCTGCAAAATGCACCCCAAGTTCCACCACTTCTCCGTATCTCCAGCATCATTGTTCTGGCCCAAGCGGCCACCGCCTCTCACGGGACCACTACTTAACGTCCTCACTGCCTCCAGTTTTACTCTTGACCATCTACTGCCCTGTTTCCATGCAGCACAGTTTGCTAAAGGTAATTCAGACACCAGATCTTATCTTCCTCTGCCTGAGAACCTCCGGTGAGTCTTCAACTAGCCGAACCTTTCAGGTGGCCTCGGAGGCCCTGCCCCACCGGTTCCTGCCTAGTCCCTGTCTCACCCACTACCTTTCCCCTTTGTTCTCTTTGCTCCATGCACATTGGCCTCTTCGGATTCCTCCACAGACCAGTCTGCCCAAGAGATTCTGCATTTGCTAGCCCTCCATCTAGAAAGAGTTTTCCTCTGATTTCCATATGTCTAGTTCCTCTGCCTCATTCAGGTTTCAGCCTGAATGCCACCTCCTTCAAGAGGCCTTCACCGACCACACAGCCAAAGCAGCCCCATGCCACTCAGGAACTTGCTCACATAGTCCTTGGCTTCATTATATCCTTGCTGCTCACTGCTACCTGACGTTACCTTTTCAGTTGGCCTCTTTTCTTGCTCACTGTCTGTCTCCCACTGAAATGTAAGCTCCAGGAGAGCAGTGACCTTGCCTGTCTTGCCTACAGGTGTATCCCTGGGGCCTGCCACAGTGCCTGGCACACAATAGGTGTTTCACTAGTAGTTATTTTTTTTTTTAATTAACATACAATGCATTATTTGTTTCAGGGGTACAGGTCTGTGATTCATCAGTCTTACACAATTCACAGCGCTCACCATAGCACATACCCTTCCCAATGCCCATCACCCAGCCACCCCATTCTCCCACCCTCATAGTAGTTATTAAGTGAATGAATACCTCCACAGTTTCTTCTAGCTCCCTGTCTACGACAATAGTATGGTCCTGAAATAACTTCTGTTCTCTCCCACTCCCCAGATGCCAAGCCCAGCCCAGCCTACTCTTCTCCGCAAAGGCTGGCTGTCTCTCCCCCTACTCCCCACCCCATGGCTCTGCTCCTGCTCAAACCCCTTACAGCAGTTGGAACCTCCCCACAGCACTTAGTGCTGTCCTATGCATTCTCTGGTGTCATTCACTTTCTTTTTCAAGTGTCCTTGTTAATTTTAAGTCCTCAGTGACTCTTATCATCTGTATGTTCCCTCTAATAAATGAATCCATTAAATAAAAGCACAATCTTGGCACCCTTCCTAGGTGAGTAGATATTTCTAAAATTTAGTGTATACTAAGCTGGGAGGCTCCAACCAACTGTTGAGCTTTGGGGATTCAACGGGGAGGGAAGGATTGATACGCCACGGCTGGCTGGTTGGCACTTTGTGCCAATCAGAAAACTGCCCCTCCACTGGGGGTTCCTGTGAGGGCAGAGGCCCTGGCTAGGGGGGCTCAGGCTGGAGCTCTGCCCTACTCAGCCGCTTCGGCACACACCTTTGGGTGGAGGGTCACGGGCATAGGAGAGAGGAGGAAGCCTGAGTGAGAAGTGGGGGCAGGAGGAGGTGTGAGAGTATTCTCTGGCCCTACCCCTTCTCTCTCTGGCTGTAAGTGGGGCAGGTGCGATGCTCATCAGCGCTGCCTCCCAACAGGCATCTGTGTGAAGTGGGCAGAGCAGAGGCGGGATGCCCAGAGGCTGTAAAGCAGAAGGGGCAGGGTTGGGAGGACAATAGCAGATCAGGTTCCCTGCCTTTTCTGGTTCAGAAGAGAGAGGAGCAGGTGGGAATGAGAGATTGACAAGAACAGAGACAGCAGGCCAAGTGATTCTGGGAGGAATCTTTGGGGACTTCTGCTGCACCTGATATTAGAGTCCAGGAGGTGACCTGCAGAGGCAGGGGGAGGAGAAGCCAGGAAGCAGAGGCTGGTCCCTTGGAGGAAGGTGGAACATGAGGAACCACCAGCTTTAAGAGCATACCACCCTTGGGTGAGAAAATGGAAAGCAGGGACGGTGAACAAATGGGGGGCTGTGGGGGTTGGCCTTGAAGGCCTGAGTGTGGTGGTGGGCTGAGGCAGGGCAGCCTCAACTATCTATGGACCGGAGTTCTCAACACAGATGTGCGAGATGCATGGGACCAAGAAAAACCCGGGAAGGGCTGGGTCTGCAGGAAGCTAGAGAAGGGTGACCACATGACGGGGGAAGGGACACTCTAAAAAATCTAAAGAATCCTGACAAATCAGCAGAATGTGGAAAGAGCTTTTCAGTCAAAAAGCAAAACCATTCCAAGAATCCTCAAAGCTGGGTCAACAGAGGGACTTTTCTATAGTGGCCAATATGGTGACAATGTCCTCATTATTTTTTTTCCCCTGACCTGCTTCTCTTTGATTTCAAAGGACAACGAAGAAGAGAAAAGGCACTAGTATATTTAGAATGATGAAACTAGAGACTATGGTCGTAGGTGTGGCTGCCCCACCACCAGGTAGAAGGAGCAGGCCTGGGCTATCCGTGCTCTCCCCCTGTGCTGTATGCAGCTGGGGTTGGCTCTGCTTGGGGCCCAGGGGGATTCCTTTGATTACTGTCTTTCCTTTTAAACTTTGAAAATATACACACAAGTCAAGAGACTTGTGTGGTGACCCTCCATATCCAGCTTCAACAGGAGCTGCTGGAGTATATTTTAAAGCACCTTCTAAATATTTTAGATTCCAGCCATACACACATCTACATTTATAAGCTAGAACTATAATAACACCACTGCAGTAACAAAATAAATGGAAACTAATGATTTTAAGTAGTTTTTGTTTAAAATCATTAGTTTCCAGTCTATATGCAATTTCCCCCTGCATATTATCTCCAAAATGTCATGTTAGAGTTAATTTGGTGATTAGGACCAAGACAGGATTCCCCATTGACTTTGGTCAACATGTCTAGTCTTTGAAATCCTGTAAGAATTTCCACCCAGAAGAGACTGCAGGCTTCAGACACCCTTTCTGCTCTTCCCTTGGTCCAATCCCCAGCAAACCAAATCCTCCTTCCCTGGAGGTGGGAGGTGAGTGAGGACGGAATGATGGCCGAGAGCCTGCTTCCCAAGGTAAATGGAAGATGGCTCCACTGCAGACAAGCCTGCAGAGGACCGGTGGAGGGGAGACCAAAAGGAAAACCTAGCTTTGCTCATACATGTAGAAGGTTTTTAGCCACTTAATGTGGTTACCAACCCAAATATAGCTCAACCTCCACAGAGAAGGAAATGCCAGTAAAACAACGGTCCCTTGCTGTGTGCAACTGATGGCAGGCTTGAAGCTGAGAGTGACGGCAGCAGTTGTAGGGACAGGGAGGCAAGCCCGGGGCTTGTATGGGATGTGGAGCTTCATGAGGCAGAGAAACGAATTCTGGAGGGAGGCCTGAGGACCTCTGACAGTAAGCCTTCTCAAAGGACACTGCCTGCCAACTTAGGTATTGGAAGATAAGAAGGCTGAGTTGTGAAGAGTTCTTTTTATAATAAATGAAAGTATTTTACAAAGCAACAGGTGGGGCATCTGTGGTGGCAGCAGTCCTTGTACTCAGCACTGCCACCCGAGTAAGGGCAGGACAGAGTCAGGATTTATGATTATCATTAAGCAAGAGTAATGCTGCAACATGCAAATTATATAAGTTAATGATTTTATGGCATAAATATAATAAAACCTTAGATGTCTATAGAATCCACCTTCCAAAGGGCATAAAAGACTGCTCAAACACAATTTATTTAATGTTATGTTGTTATTATGAGGAAGCCAGGAGCAAAGTTCTCCGGTTGATAACTGGTAATGCCTAACTACGGAGAGAGAAGACATTTAGCAGTGCAAGGTACTTGTAAAGGGAACCTGGAAACACCAGTCCCTAATACATAGCTACTTCCATATGGCTTTAGAATCTGGATCTCTACTCCCAACCTCCCAATCTCAGGGTTAGGCAGTGGGATTGGTACCTGTATTTTCTGGGTTTGCGTAGGAACTCTTATCCTCATTTTCATTGGGCTGGAGGTCATCCATGTTGATCTAGGCAGCCAAACGAGAGAAGGAGGAAGAATCCAGTTAGAAACATTCACTAGTTAGAGAGGCTTAGAGTAGCCTTGAAATTGCATCATAGTCAATGGCTGAGCTGTTGACTCAAAAATATACCCTTGCTATCTTGCATATATCCTTTAAGTCATCAACAGAAGGCTGGGACTCACCCAGCTAGCCTTCTCTTCACATTGCTAGCCCTCCTGCTCCACCCTCCTGGGCTTTCTTCCACTGAGTCTCTTTCTTTCCTTCCTCCCTCCTTTCCGTGGCCTGGGAAGACTGTGCCCGTCTTCTCCCAGCAATGGGCCTCCCAGCTCCTGGAAGGGGATGGCTTCTTACCTTGGTGGTGGGTGGGGACTCTCCATCAGCTGTAATGGATTTCAGTTCAATTTTCTCCTCCTTGGTCTCCTCCACTGCTGGCTTCTCTACCACCTCTTGTTTCTTCTCTGGGCTGGCAGTCCTGGCCGGTCAGCAGGAGGAAAAATTAAAGGAATGTTTACTGAATGATAGGAAACATGAAGACACAGACTACCCTGTGGTCTGCTGGGGACCGTGGGAGAAGACTCCCTGTGCCTACGTCCATCTTTCTTCACCCAGGGCACATGGCATGTGTCACTCAATCCCAGATGCCACTGGGTTGGGCCCACAATGCCTGGCCTGGCCACACCTTGCTTTGTCTGGTACTCAGTTGGCCTCTTTCAGGTTCTTAGCTGCTCCAGTCCTTGTCTGAATCAGAGTAAGTTTCTGGATCTGATTCAGGATTGGTTCCTGGAAAACTCTGCTCAGTATCCAGCAGGTGTGTGGCCTATGACAGTCCCATTTAGACAATGACAAGACAATGCAGGGCCTTATCTTGCTTTCTGAACACTGGAGATGAGTTATCAAACAGTGAAAAGGAGTCACTCAGCTGGAACTGAATTTCCTCTCTGAATGGCTGCTTTCCTCCTCTCTGCATCCGTCACTCCCACCACCTATCATGACCTCCCTTCTCAAGAGCATCCTCCAACTTCTTAGACAGGTGGGCGAAATCCAGCACCTTCACAGAGACTGTAATTCATGACGGTCCCTACTTTAGAGCAATGCCTAGGTATTAGCAGAGAGGCCCAGCTTTCTGTAGGAAGCCCCAAACCCAGTGCCCTCGAGGAATGGCTGACAGGGGTCAGCGCCCAAGCCTCTCTTTACCACTAATGGGAATGGCATTCCAGAACTGGGACCCTGGGGCCCTAGGTCTGGGTAAGCTTAGGGGGTTACCTGGCCAGCTTCTTTCTCTCCTTCTCTTCTTCCTCCTCCTTTTGGGCAGATGTGAGGCTCTCAGCATCAGCCAGGTTGTCCACAGCAATGGCCAAGAACACATTCAGTAGGATATCTGTTTGTGTCCATTCTTAAAGAAAATGACTCTTGGCCTTGGGGTTTTTGATGGGCACAGGGGCCAGGGAGGAATAGGACAAGCAGTGATAGAGTTCCCCACAGAGTGAGCTCAATGGTGACTCACCCCGAGGGTTCCCAGCCTAGTAGTGTCCCTCCTCCACCCCTCTCCCTCCCCATCACCCTCCTAGCTACCGGGAGTTTTCTGAGGGGTTGAGAACAGGCTAGCTTGCAGGCTGGAGTGGGCAGCAAGTGAGGCAGTGAGCCTGCCTTGCTCCTTAATTGCTGGGTTTCGTTATTGGTTTCCCCACTGAGATGACTGGCTGTAATTGACATTATAAACAGTATTATCTCTAGCAGAATGCAGAATGTTCTTAAGAGCAGTTCACTAAAACCGGGTACTGAGGAGGCAGCCTGATGTCTGTGCCAACTCTTAATGTGAGCCTGCACATACAAAGACCCTAAGAGTGTCCAGCTGAAGCTGACCGAATCTTGGGAACTCCGAATCGAAGTGGTCATTTGTCCTTTTCTTCTCGCCGCCCCACCCCCACCCCCACCTTGAACAGAAACACTGTGGGTCAGAGACCTGCAGAATCAAAGAAAGTATAGCTGCACGGGCCTTAACGTTTGTTAAGTCTAACCTCCACCTCCCAGGCCCCCGGACAGTCACACCATTTCACATACCAGGAAGCCACAACCCACAGGGTTGAAGGGTTTGCCCAAGGGTTCTAGTGTACACTTGCCCCTGGCCCCCGGCACCGCGGGCAGGGGCTTCACATACAGCACCCGTTAAACCTCACCAGGACCTGTTAAGTAGTAGGCACTGATATTTTGTCACCCCGTTTTACAGACACTGAGGTAGAGAGCCTTTAGTTGTCGAGGTTACCCAGCTGGTAAAAAGTGAAGCCGGTCTGCAGGCACCAATGCCTAAGCTTTCAACACTACGTTAAGCCCTGACTTAAACCCGAGTCTTAAAAAAATAAAAAATAAAAAAAAATAAATAAACCCGAGTCTTAGGCCAGAGCTGCTTCTACTTTACCATCTCCTCTGCACACAACCCTCACAGGGTTAGACTGCCTGTGGCTTGAGATCCCAGAAACCCGCCCATGGCCTGGATCAGCAAGGACCTGTCAGGTCTGCTTGGTGAAGCCTGTCCGGCTCTGCCTGGGACGAAAGTCCTGGAGAGCGGCTTCAGAGGGAGGGGCACTGAGCAGAAACAGGGAGGAGAGATGAAGGTCATTTCAAGGATGACGGCTCAGTTCCTCTGGACGGCACTTCTTACCTCCAGCAGCCAGAGGCCAGGGCAGTCAGGGTGCCCAGATCTAAGTGTGTTCACATTGGAATCTATCTGAGTGTCTGTCCATGCACAACACCAGGGGGCGTTGTTCGCCTAGACTATAATGAGAACATGCCTCCTGGAGTCGGGCAACACTACAGCCCAAACTGGTTCAGGAAGATAAACTTACATCCCCACCTATGCCAAAGCTCCAGGCTTTCACCAAGACCCGCCTCCACGGCTAAGGTGGTTCTGGGACAGGACACATTTTCTCCCCAGAGCACATCTTTCCCCTGCTTGCCTGGGGGCCCTGTGGGCGGGCAGCCACACTTTTCAGCCCCGAGTCAGGACCTGCTGGGCACACGTATTTGGCATCGTGCTGCAGGCTGAGGGAGGGTGGGGCAGCAGGGGCGGGGAGGCAGGAGCAAAGGATACAGTTTCCACAGATGAAGAGGATGATGAAGTAAATACAGACTAACATCCCTGGAAAAGAGGGGCCGCCATAAGCCATGATCCCATCATACATCACCGAATTCCAGTCCTCCCCGGTCAGGATCTGAATGACACATTCCCACCAATAAGGGACACAGCGTTAGACCAACAGCAAACCCCAAAACTCCCCTGCCCTGCCCCACTATGTTAACAGAATTGTCTAAAATCTCTTTTCCACCTCTTTCCCTCCTCTTGGGCCCCAGTTCTCCTCCCAGGGGCTCTGAGCTAATCACCTGGTCAAGTTTGACCCTATCCTTAGACAAAGTGCATGGGCCCTCGCATGATACTATTTGAGAAGTGACTGGAAAGACTTCCTGGTCAAAGTATTTTCTTCTACTCGACTGCACAAGATGGCTGCCGTTAGCCATTCCTTGGGGCCTTTTTATAAATGTGAACGTGTTTGTTGAGAGAATACTATGCTGTTCCAGCTTTCCCCAACATTAGTCATTTGGGTGCCATCTTTAAGATTTGGGCCACATCCACATACTATTTTTCTTGTAAATCAATCTACTTTGAAACTTCAACAAGTGCTACTTTAGCTTTACACCAAAATATCTATGAAATGACAAATTTGATGGGCTAGTTATATTTCTTCTGGGGACAAGCGTGGTAGGTAAGAAAGACAGAGCTTCACCACTCTTCCCTCCCCCAACAAGGGCAGTCTCCTTTCCTCTGTTTGTACTTCGGGTGTTCATGTAGAATTTATTTGAATAAAGGGTTCCATGGTTAAGCAAGAGTTTTTAAACTACTCAATTATATTTTTTCCCCCAGTAGTCCATCCAACAGTGGAATTCCATGGGGGACCAAGGGTAGGGGGAACTACAGAAAGAACTCAAGACTCTCCTGGGCATGGACCCTCCATGGCTGATCTAAGCTGGCTTTGGTTGCCTAGTGCAAGGGTGAAGCTTCCCACCACCTTTTCTCCCCCACAACCCAACCCCGCCACTCAACACCCTCCCACTCATCATCCCAGCAGAGAAGAGTCCATACCTGAAACACAGTGAGGAGGGACTGGGGAAAGTTATCAAATGTGCTCCTCCGGGTCTGCATTTCATCAAAGTTGAACTTTCCCCCAAAGAGCTGCATCCCCAGGAGAGAGAAGATGATGATGAAGAGGAAGAGGAGCAGCAGCAGGGAGGCAATGGAGCGCACAGAATTCAGCAAGGATGCCACCAGGTTGCTTAAGGAGTTCCAGTACCTGAGGACCAGCATGAGGGAGATTAGTGTCCTTTTTCTATGCTTTCCTTAACATCACTCTTCATTCATATACCCACTAGAGATTTTAAGATAAATTACAACTCCTTCTTTTTCCCTTTCATTGGGGTAGTGGTGGTGGTGTGGATTGGGCTGGTAAGCTCACAATTAGAGTGTGGAGCTAGTTAATTCAAGGTCCCAGGATCAGTAATGTGTAATGGCAAATAGATGGAGCTCAGAAGTCAGAAGCCTGAGTTTCAACCTAGCTCTGCCAGTTGCAGCTGCTAGCTGCAGTTGGGCAAGTCACTTAACTTCCCTTCTCTTTGCCTCTGAGAAAACAGAGATAACAGTAGCACTTACTTCACTAGGTTATTGGGAAGATTACATGAGACAAAAAAAAGCAGCCCACCCAGCAACAAAATAAAGAATAAACAAGTGGGATTACATCAAACTAAAAATCTTCTGGTCAGCAAAAGAAATCATCAAAGTGAAAAGACAACCTATGAAACAGGAAAAAATATTTGCAAACCATATATCCTGATAAGGGGTTGATATCCAAATGTAGAAAGAACTCAGACAACTCAACAGCAAAAACAAAACAAAACAACAACCAAAAACCAAAATCCCCAATAATCCAATTAAAAAATTTGGCACAGGGGCGCCTTGTTGGCTCAGTCGTTTGGGTGTCTAACTCTTGACTTCAGCTCAGGTCATGATCTCGGGGTCATGAGATTGAGCCCTGTGTTGGGCTCCATGCTCAGTGTGGAGTCTGCTTGTCCCTCTCCCTCACCCCCCTACTTGGGTGCATATGTTCTCTCTCAAATCAATTAATAAATTAATCAATCTTAAAAAAAAGTATAGTGTTTAAAAAAAATTTGGCACAGGACCTGAATAGACATTTTTCTAAAGAAGATATATGGATAGCTATCAAGTACCTGAAAAGGTGCTCAACATCACTAGTCATTAGGGAAATGCAAATTAAAACCACAGTAAGGTATCACCTTACCCCTGTCAGAATGGCCATCATCAAAAGACAAGAGATAACAAGTGTTGGCAAGGATATGGAGAAAGGGGAACCCTGGTGTGCTGTTGGTGGGATTGTAAACTGGTGCAGCCACTATGGAAAACAGCATAGAGGTTCCTCAAAAAGTTAAAAATCAACTACCATATGATCCAGTGATTCCAATTCTGGGAATACATCCAAAGGAAATGAAAACACTAACTCAAAAAGATATCTGCACTCCCCATGTTCTTTGCAACATTATTTACAATAGCCAACCCAAGTGTCTATCAAGGGATGAATGGACAAAGATCTTGTGGTATATATAATACACACACACACACTGGAATGTTATTCATCCATAAAAAATGAGGAAATCCTACCATTTATGACAACATGGATGGACCTTGAGGACATTATGCTAAGAGAAATAAGTCAGACAGAGAAAGACAAATACTGTATGATTTCACTTATATGTGGAACCTAAAAACAAAAACAAAAAAGCAAAAAAAACCACCTAACTCATGAAGAAAGAGATCAGATTTGTGGTTACCAGAGGTAGGGGGTGGGAGGAGGGAGAATTGGATGAGAGCGTCAAAAGGTATAAACTTCCAGTTATGAGATAAATAGGTCATGATGATGTAATGTACAGAATGATGACTATAGTTAACACTGCTCTATGATATTAACAGATTAGATCCTAAGAGTTCTCATCAAAAGGAAGGATTTTTCCCCTTTCTTTTTATTGTATTTATATAAGACAATGGATGTTAACTAAACCTATTGTGGCGATCATTTCATAATAAATGTAAAGCAAACCATCATGTTGCATGCCTTAAGTTTATACAGTGATGTGTGGCCAATTATTTCTCAATAAAACTGGAAAAAATATAATTCCTACTCTTAAAAAAATACCCTAGTACAGAGCCTGGCACACAGTTGATAAAGGTTAGTATTTACTGTTATCACTATTGGTCTTTAGACAGAAAAACACATTATAATTTTTTTTTCTTCAAGAATGATGTCCTCAGCCCAGGCAGCAGCTGGTCACCCATGGGTAAGAGAGGGTACAAGGCTTAGTGAGGTTTCCCGGATTTACCCTGCTGCCTAAAGAATTGGTTTTCTATAAAGCCTCTCTTCTGGAGATTCTGATTCAATTGTTGCAGTTTGGGGCCCAGAAATCCATATTTTTAGCAAGCATCCCAGATGATTCTGACAAGCAGGCATGTCTGGGAAATCCTGGGTTACAGGAAACCCATCCCACCCACAGGATGGGAGTCTGTGAAGGCGGTAGAGAGGTCTTCCCGGGTGGAGATGGGCCCTTGGTGCGGTGCATTGGAGAGGAGGCCCCAAGTCCTGCTAGTCACAGACCTCTCTCCACTGTAGACACAGACGTTCTCCATGGTAGCCTGGGGAAAATGCCTTCCTCTTGGAAGAGGAGGGAGGTGTGGGCTGCTCATGGCCGCAGGATGTGGCTTGGGTCAGTCAGGGTAAGGAAATGCACCGTAGTAGCAAAAGGAACACAGCCTCCAGCTGGAGCAGGTGCAACAACAGAGAAATCTCACTTCCTTAGCTCCATCTGTGGCCTGTCTGCCTTCCAGGTCACCATCTTGATTTCCTTCACTTAAGGCATTCCCAGCTTATTACCAATATACACAGTGAATTGTTTTTGCTGCTTAAAAGGGTGACGTGCAAACCACTCCCATTATAGCCTCACAGCTGCACCCCCAGCCTCTGTACTTCTCTCCAAAGAATGGTTCCATATTAGTTGAAAGAAGCAGATGGGCCAACAGTTTGGAGGTAAACGTGAACTTCTTGCCAGCTTGGAGTCTTTAATGTTCCTTTCTCCTTCACAAATTCAGCCTTTCTCTACCTCTATTTTGCCTGCCAGCCACACTTTCTCTGTTTGCAGAATATTAATATACATTTATTTGTATCCGTTCTATAAATGCTCTTCAGTGTTTTTCATTTGTGACAGTCTCGTCTCACCCAAATAGGCTCTGAGTTCTTGAGGACAGAGACCAGAAGTTTTTTTCTTCCATTCTCTCCATCTTTGTCCTCACCCAGTACATGTGACGGACTGCCTAGCACCCCGTAGGCTAGAGTTGTCATATTTGTTTTGCTTAAAGCAAGAAGTAAGAGAACCTCTCTGGGGCTAAAATACCTGCCCCTCTTACATTCAAAGCAGTGTTCCCACACCTGGCTGGAGAGGAAACAGCTGAGGAGTTGGGTCATTTTCTAAATACCGATTCCCAGGCCTCACTCTGGAACCATGAAATCATAAACTCTGGAGATGGGGTTTGACTGATTTTCATGCAACCATTCCAACACTTGTCAGTAGACTAGTATTTAGGAACCAGTAACTTTAGAGCACATTTATAACAAGAATTTTCAGCTGTATCAGAGGGGAGAGTGTCTGCATACAGATTAAGGTCACAGAGCCACCTAGAAATCTTCTGTGTGTTCAACTGTCAGGGAATATTCTGGAAAAGTCTTTATGGCCATAGAAGGTAGAAGTCTTAATTTTCATGAAGTGCATGGACCGAGGGAAATAACTCAAACCAGGCTCATGACTGAGGTGTCTGTTCAGAGGTCCCTATGGGGACCCGGACAGGGAGCCTATGGGGAGCCACACAGGGAGGCCCCAGACTGGACAGAGGTTTGGTGGAGTGGAGCAGCCAGCAGGCAGAGAAGGAAGGGGATGTGGGAAGAGCCCCTCAGAGTGTCTGGGGTTCTGGAACGTGGAGGCCATGGTAGAGAAACAAAATGAGTCATCCAGTGGAGGAGAATGTTGGGCACGAAAGATGGCAGATAGTGAGTGACCTAGAGGGGCTGGCCCGTGGAGCAGGGCTGAGGGCTGCAATGGTCAGAGGGGCCAGCTGTGGGGCAGAGCGTTTGACTAAAAGTGAGGACTCTTCTCATGCTTCCCTATGTCCCTCAAGTTATCCAGGGAAAGTCTGCATTTCTCTTGGTCAACTAGCAGTGGGCTCACAACATGAGATTTGTGGAATGACAGAACTCCCACCCCCATCGTCTCCCTTATTAAGTGACAACTGCAGTTTCTGGCTCAAGACACAACCCTTGCAGTTACACTTCACGTCTCTCTCACCCCCCATGTCTCTCTTGCCCACCGGCAAGCTCTGTGACCCCATCTTCTAAGCGGAGCCTGAGTCTGGCCACTTCCCATGACTCTGTCACCAGCCGAGCCAGCAACCTCCCAACGGGATTTCTGCCCCCTGACGGGTTGCCCTGTTTTGACACTTGCTCCCTGCAACCCTTCTCCATGTCACATACATCTCAGGTGAAAAGCCCTCAAATGCACCATACCTTTTTTTAAAATTGATAGTAATGGATGATAACACATTGAAAAAACAATCTAAATCCACTGATATTTAAGTAAGGAGGGAGAGGTTTATGTCAAATGGATAATATGAATGAATGAATGAATGAATGAATGAATGAATGAATGATAGAATTAGAAGATCACCCTTTTGCAGCAGCAACTAATTCAGGTAAAGATCATCATGGACTCTAAAACCATTAGGTGAAAGATTGTTGACCAGTAGGGCATTCATATACTCTCAAAGTATCACTCCATAGATTACTTATTAATCACAAAGAGAAAGGGTACCTTGACAGAAATCTGGCAGACATCCCCTTAACAAAGTTTCTACACTTGGAATCACCAATATCGAGACAAACTTATATTACATACCTCCCAATGCCATGTGTTGGGAGGTACACAATCATCTACGTACTCCACACCCTTGCAGCAGGAGGCCCTTTTAAATCGCAAGTCATACCAAGTCTTAACGCTGCTTCAAGCGCTCGAGCAGCTTCCCATTGGAAGGCCTAGCAGATCACGTGGGATCAGCTCCTCCCGCCTCCATGACCTCTTCTCCTCCCACTCTCCCTCCCACTTTTGCTCCAGCCCCCCGGTCCCCAACTGTCCCCTCAGCCTCCATGCATACTCCTGCTCTGGTCCCTCCTTTTCTGCTGTCTGC